CGGTGAGGGCGCGGCGAGGCCTGGCCGAGCCCGCCCGTCCCACAGTGCCGCTGCCTGCGCTCTCCCGTCCTTTAACAGTTGCTCCTTAGGGCAGATACAGAGGGGTTTGGCTTGTTTGTGGGTTTTTTTTGTTTGAAATTAATCCTAGAGCGGGCTTTGCCCTCCAGCCTCGTGTTTATCAGGCGCCGGATTAACTCTGAACTTGGGCGTTGATCCCCCAGCCCCTTCACTCGCCCAGGGCTGCTCCCCCGGGCAGACCCCGTCCTCTGCGGCTTTGCAGCCTTGAGCCCGAGTTCATCAACTCCTCAGAGCAGCTTTCACTGGTCACGTACAAATTGCCATGCCGTTTTCAGTCCTTGTGAGTGGTAATTTTTTATTTTTCTTTTTTTTTTTCGGGAAGGACGGGATAATTTAAATGCGCTGCTTGCATTTCAGCAGCGCCTGGAGAGCAGGTCCAGACGATGCAAAGGTAAAAACCCCAGTGCTGTCTGTACCGATCAAGAACTAAAGCTCTCGATGGCAGAAGCTGCGTTTCCACGGTTTGCTTAAATTTCAGAAGATCTTAAGCTTTGTATGAAGTTGAAGAGTTTGGTTTTAAGTCTTTCGGAGGTACCTAGTATTTAAATGATAAGCAGGTATTAATTCTCAGAAGAACAAAAGGCTTAGTAAAAAGGTCTTATCCAAGTGGCTTTATTTCTTGGGATCCTTTTAGTCCTGTGTAAGGCCATTTAATCTAAAATCTAAGAGGAAGCAAGTGATCAAATAGCTTGTTAACGAGTCTTGTCAGTTGTCTAAACAATGAATTTACGTATAATTTTGAATTGTTTGTTGCAGTTAATATTACTGTAAGAATTAGCCATATCAGGCTATCTTATAAATAGGCACTTCTCACCTTTCCAAGGAGGTAAGTGAAGTAATTCCCTTTTTGCATGGGGGAAACTGAAGCAGAGCAGGTTGGCTGTTGCATTGACAATCACATCCGTGTACCTGTCAAGCTTGGAGTATTTCTCCTGATTTTGATGCTTTCTAATAATTGCACTATAAAATAGTTCTACCTAATCTGTTAAAATACCACTTCTCACAGTACTGTTTCTAACAGTACTTTATTAATATTCATGCATCAGTTTTACCTGTCTCATCCTTATTTCAGGGAAGCTATTGGATATTCTTGCATTGCTCAGTAACCGTGGTGTTTTGATACTGATTTGGGTGAAGTCGGGAAAAGCAATCTATGAAAAAAATAGAATTAACCATGTAGTTGATTAAAATAATGAGAACTGTTAAGCATTCTTAATTTAAAAAAAAAAACCAAAACCATAATTGAAGTAGCTTTTATAGTTCAGTGCTCTCTACAGAAGCTTTTCAGATTTTGTTCTTATATTAGCAAGAAATGCCATACACAGAGCTGTTGACCTTGTTGCTGAAATGTTTCCTTAACTTTGACTAAGATTGCTTCTATTAAATCACTTTCCCTGCAGACTGCTTGCAGGAATTCAAGGGAATAACTGCATTGTCTTCTGCTGCTTAATGGTGTACAAGTTTCTACTCTAGTTCTCTAAAGGAACAAGATGATTTCTGGTAATTCAATTTTTGTTACTAGTCGAGAAAAAATGTAATCTACTTCATGGCAATGGGGAGGTTTAAACTGCCCCAGCTCTCCAGTATCGTTTACACGCATCATTTGAGACGCTCTGCCTTTTTACAGAGCAGAAAATATCTTGCAGTAAAACGTTTTGTTGCTGTATTTAAATGTTACACCATGATGAATTCATGTGTAATGAAACTCGAAGCCAGTGAGGCTGTTTGCTCTCTGCAAAGCTGGGCAGGGTGTGCCTAGACAGGTTTGTGTATTTTCCATCAGGATTCTTAAACTTCCATACAAATCTGAAGAGCATCTCTTCTGTTCAGTAATGCCTGTCTAACACAGAATTGGATGTGTTTTATAATACCGCAAATTGCTGTTGAGCAAAAAGCAGTATTTTCCTTGTATCAAGGGTATTTATGCTGTAAAAGGTTTGCAGGGAAGATCTTTTGTGGTGAACAGCAGACAGACCTGCGGTGCAGGACCACCAGGGCTGTCATCTCAGCTCTGTTTCTGAGCAATCCTGCCTTGGTAGTTTGTTTTAATCTGTGTGTATTTTGAAGATGGGAATGCACAGGTAGGCAATGGTAGTTGTTGATGGCCTGTTGTGCTTAGAACTGGATGAAATGAATCAGGATGCAGAAGACTGAAGATGTAGGGCACTGCAAGTTTAATTTCTTTAATGTTCAGATGCTAACTAGACAGTTTCACTTCTGTCTGTTGACCAGTTCGTGCACGGTGAAGATTATAGTGACCTTGCAGCCATCGCTTTAGCTCTGTCTGCTTGATAGGTTACTTGAATTGTTTAATGTTATATAAATGAAATCATAAAAGAAGCTAGATCTCGTGGCCTTTTTGTTGGCTTTTTTGCCTTTCTTTTTTTCTTCCCATTCTATCTTACAGGGTGTGTGGTATTCTGTGATAGCTGAGCTCCTGGAATTTGTTTGCAAACATTTCAGTGGTTTGTTACTGATCCTTCTCCAATTTCTAAATTGATTTGGCAAAGACCTTTCCTTAATGGTATTGTTTACCTGGCCATCATTCTTGCCTTTTACTGCTCCGTTGTCACCTTTTCATTTACAAAATTGCCCTATTCTGTTACACCAAACAGACATGGAAGTAACACGAATGTCTTTTTTTCAAAATACAGAATAACAGTTTCAGAGTTTTAGAACCTCCTCATGCTGGAACTTTGAATGTAATTTTAATTCTCTGAATGCCATTAACCAAATTTGGCAAAAGAAGGGAAAACCTGGGATTTCCTCCCCCCAGTGCATTCTTTATGTCTTTTAAGTTGGTGTTTTAGAAAGTGTCTTGTATTGCTCATTTTAACAGGGTCGGTTTTAGTTTATTTTAAGCAGACATTTGCATACTTGCCTCGTAGATGGTTTCTATTCAAGGATCATATATAAAGTTTCATTGTACAGAACATTAGCCAGAAACATAGAGTTCAGGTGTCTTATATGTATAAGTAAAACCCTAGATCTGCCTTCATTTTGTCCATCTCTTTGCTCATTTTTTCCCGAAGTGCTATACCTCTGTGTTAACATACCAAACGGAGGAACATCTCTGTGGTCACTGCGGTGTTTGGTGTCAGTAATCTGCAGATTGCAGCTCCTTAAATGACATAATAGATGATAACAAGTTTAAAGGAGGAGTAATGGATTCGGTTGATAATCTATGGATTAAATTCTCTCTCATTTTAATTGTGATGTCTGATTCCACAGTATTAACAGAATGAAGAGAGGAGTACTACCGCAGGCACAGTGTAAGTCGCAGTAATTGTGCACTCTGTTAATCTTATTTTCTTGATGCTTTTGCCTCCCTCCCGTCTGCTTTGTTGCCTTCATTTTGTACTGTACTGAGGCTCAGACAGCCTGAACTTTTTAAAACTCTTCATGAAGCAGCCAACTTGACTGGATTTTATGTTGATCTGTATGTTACCTTACTTCCTGTCTTGCTCGTCATTAGTAAGTTTTTGAATTTACCTGCCAGTGTTTCCAAATTCTCCCTTTTCTGTGCCACTTTTGCTCTCCTGCCTTCTTTGCAAGTCTCCTCATTCTTTGATTTGTCACAAAACCAGGGGTTTGGAGCAGTCGTGTGTGAGTTAGGTGTTTCTTATTGTGATCTGTACTCCTCTCTGACGGGGATGCTTGGGGAGGTAGGACCAAAACCAGGATAAGGATAGCATGTTGCTCTCAGTTCTGTCTGCACGTAGCTTGGCTTGTCTGTAGGTGTCTGTGTCCTGTTGCATGTTGGATTGATTAGCCCAGAACTCTCTTGGATTCTGTGCTGCCAAGCCAGATGGCGGCTTTTGTTTTTACTGTGTTGGCGTATTTTATTTTCCTTTTCTCTTTCCTTCTTGCATGAATCAGCGAGCACAAAAAAATTAGGTTTCCACCAGCGACATGGTTTGCATTTACAGCCTTCTTTCTGTGATGCTGAGGAGCGTTTCCTGTGAAAATTTTGAAACTTGCTGTGCTGGGAAAATTTAGCCAGGTCTATGCATGATTTTCTAATGGTTTGGCTAAAGGTGTGACAGTGAACTGGTGTAGTTATGTGTGCACAACTGCTTCAGACAGCTTTTATGTGTCTGCACCGAGGTGACATTGGTTTAACTCATTTAAGTTAGCATCACACCTCATGTGTGTGTCTCTAAGCAGTTTGTAAATACTTAAAATAGGTACTAAATCTTTGTTTCTCATTTTCACGTGCTATTTCTCCTTAAGTACAAAGTGTTGAGAGAGAGTGTTTGGGTGTTGTTAATTAGAAAACTTGTCTTAAACCTTTTCTCTCGAGTGAGCGTGAATTTATTATGGGTTTTTAAATGTTTTTTAATGCATGTTTTAGTTGATGGCATTTTCCAGTGATTGTTTCAAAAGAACAAGCTAGTTAAGCAAATATTCACAGAATCATAGAATTGCTTAGGTTGGAAAAGACCTTTCAGATCATCAAGTCCAACTGAAAGTGAGATCATTGCCAGTGAAACATAATATATTTACTTACCTTTTTTTTTTTTTAGTGTTATGTCACAAATTAGCACCCCCTCCAAATCTAGATATAGTACAGTTATGTGTTTGCTATCATTTACATTAGACTATACAGTAGTGTAATAACGTTCTTATGGTTTTTGCAGCCATAGGTGGCAATTAAAAATGAAAATCTATTTAAATCTTCACTGTGTAAAAACTAGTTTGTTCCCTAAAGTCTTTTACTTAGTTTCTTGCTTGTTTGCACTTTTTTCTCCCTTGATGTGTTTACTCAAGGCTGTAACAGATACTCCTTTACTGATAGGGAAGGCATTCTCCAGTGCTTAGGAGAAGGACATCTCCTCACATTAGGAGATCTTGGGTTTTGTTCCCGTATCTGCCACTGGCTTGGAGAGGCTTTGGACCGAGGATTTAACTTTGCTGCATACATGTGTTCCCATTGATGAAATAAAGATATTTCTTCAAACATCACAAGACTACTCTGATTACTTGGGAAGTGCTTTTAAGTTATTAAATAAGAAATTGTTGTTAACTGAAAAGTGTGTCACAGTGAAAAGCTTCTAGAACAGTGTTGTAGTTCTTGATTTATGTCAGAGTAAAGGGAGGAGAAATTTCCTTTGCATAGATTGGACAGCAAAGTCTTTATCCCATTTACAGAAATGGGATACAGTGCTTCTATTTTGTGGATGAGAAAGGAAGTTTCATGTTGATTTCTATTCTTTTTTGTAAAATTATTTGCCTTAAAAAACAGTCAAAGCAAGAAGATGTGGTATCTTCACATTCTGTTTTGGGTTTTGTTTTTTGGAATGGCAGACCCCTACTAGAAACTGGAACCTAAAGAAGAGTTGCTGTGGGTGAACGATGCTCAGAGATACTATGAAGTCTTGGAGTGACAGCCAGTCAGACCTCTACAGCAGTGACCAAGAAGAGGAAGAACAGATGATTTTTGGAGAAAATGAAGATGATTTGGAAGAGATGATGGATTTAAGTGACTTGCCTACCTCGCTCTTTGCTTGCAGTGTCCACGAAGCTGTGTTTGAGGTACAGGAAGAAAAGGTAAGGTGTAGAGAGGCATGTTTGGGATATAGTACTGTTAAGTATAGATACAGATGTCGAACACTTTTTGTCTGGATTTTCCGTGTATTACTGCCTATTATAATTGGGGGGAAAAAAACAACCCAGAGTATTTACCTGGTAAGCTCAGATCAGAATGAGTACAGTTACTGAAGAGCAGATAATACTTCACTTTTCTGGCATTTGAAATTGTTAAAGGATATGCATGGTTCTCCCATGAAAAGCTCTTCTGGTTTTTTTTTTTTGTTTTTTTTTTTTCCTCTTTATCCACGGTACCAAATCCAAGGTTGGCATACATCTTTAATAATTTTGTCTTTTACATAGCATCTAAAAGTGTTTTTTCAAGTTTAGTTCAAACAGCAAAAGATGAAAAATTCAGATAGGGTAAAAGTACGTGCAAATATTCACTTTTTTGAGGGTAATGTCACAATTGGAACACTGTCTTCATAATTTTCAGTTGCAGGTTTGATCCACTAGATTGCAGTTTTGTGTTTGTCAGGTACAAAATTTGGCCAATGTACAGAAGGAACTGGTTTTCTGGTTTAATAAAGACCTTGAGGTTGTACAGAATGGAGAGAATAGAGCAAGAAAATGGTATTTCTGTTAAAACTAACGTGGGCATCATCTGAAGAATTTCTTCAGTCCTATTTAAAATGAAAGCCTCTCATCCTGTAATTATTTTTACAGCAATAAAGGCATCAACAGGGTATTTGTAAAGAGATCGGTGTCTGTTGGAATCAAGCAAATTAAATTTTGTCATTGAAAAGAATTCTTAATGAAAAAGTATTCCTTTTCTGCTTATTTACTTATGTAGCTCTCTCTCTAAATAACTGAATATTATCAGAACATAGTAAATAAAATTGAAAAGAGATCACTTGCATTCTTCTCACTTATTGATTTTAATCTGACTTTTACAGTGAATGAAAATTTACACTAGGAAAAAGAATGTGTAAATTAGGTCTCTTGTAGTAGTAAATTAAAATAGATTAAATTTCATAACAATGCAGTTATTATTTTTGAAAGAACTTGAGGGTAAGATTCCATATTCAATAAAACGTTATTTTTTTTTCTCAATTTGTTATTTTTGTGGACATGTTGTTTAGTAATAATAGATATTTTTTTTTCTCTTCCAAAGTAGTCTTATTCATTCATCCTGAGAATTTTGACATTTTCCTTAAGCACTCCGTACTTTAGTTTCTCTAATTTAAAAATTAACTGATTTGCATAGTATTTTTGGAGATGGAATTTTGGGTGGAAGTCATGTGCAAGTACCAATATTTTTGTTGACATCTGCACTTTTGAGTAACTGTCACTAGGTGGCAGGTTGGGCATTAAGAGTTTTATAGGTTTGTTCACATCAGTGTGCTTTTGGAATTCAGATTTAAATAGTGCGACAAAGCAGAACTACACTGAATAGAGATTTGCAAGTCGGGGTGAATGAGGGAGGTGTGGAACATGCAGGTTTAGAAGGTGACTAAGGAAATTAATGGGATTTGGGAGAGGAAAGTGAAAGGAAAACATGTTTTTGTTGAGTGAAAATGTTCATTTTGTGTTTGGAGAATCTTTGTACTTCATCTCTAGGAAAGATTTGAAGCACTTTTCACAGTCTACGATAATCAAGTTACATTCCAGTTGTTTAAAAGCTTTAGAAGAGTAAGGATAAACTTCAGCAATCCAGAGGCAGCAGCAAGAGCACGGATAGAACTGCATGAAACAGACTTCAACGGAAAAAAGCTGAAGCTGTACTTTGCACAGGTATTCTAGAACACCAACATGTGTCCCTGTTTCCTCTTTGTTCCACTTTTGCCCATGAGTTTCATTTGTGATAAATACCTCAAGCTACCTTCAACCTCATTCTTCTACACTGAGCTGTATTATTTTTGCTCGTTGAGGAAATTTGTGCTTTAGGTGATGGTTTTGCTCTTCAGCTTGAGCTTACAGAGTTGTAATTGGTATGGAACAGTCGCCGTGTAGTGACACAAACCACCTTCCCCCATACAGAAAGAAAGAAAATAAGTGGGTCCAAAGATCTCTTTATAATAGGTGCTTTACAGGCATACTCTTCTTGTTGGATTAGCAGCTTGCAAGCGTCCTGTACAGCTGTGTTGTCAAAACTTACGTAGGCCAATTTCTTACCTACAGCATTTCTCCAAGGTGTATACCAAGAACTGACCAAAGCTGTAGTACTTCTATTTTTAAAGCTAGGCTGAATTAAGCTTCGCTAATACAGAGAATGGGCATGAATTATTGGGGAAGTAGACTAAAAAAAAGAGAATTAATATTTGTTACTTATTCTGGATCTCGTGGTTTTTGTCTTCAGGTACAGGTATCCAGTGAAATAGGCGACAAGTCCTACCTCCTTCCTCCACAACCTGTTAAACAGTTCCTGATATCACCGCCTGCATCTCCACCAGTTGGATGGAAACAGAGTGAAGATGCAACTCCCCTGATAAACTATGACTTGCTTTGTGCTGTGTCAAAATTGGGACCAGGTAGGAATATTTACCTGCTTTTGTTGTGTTACTTAACTTCAAAAATGGTTATAGAGTGAATTTATTTATCTTTCTTTCTGTGAGAAGAAACTGACTCTTATGTGATGTTTCTTACTTGAATAAAATGATCCATCACTTTTTTTACTTAATTAGTTAATTGATTAAAAGCATAGCACAGAACTGGATTGTGTGGTACGAGCTCCATCACATCCACGTGCTGAATGTTGTCATTGTCTCAGTATTAAGTAACAAACAAGAAGAGGACTGGAACGTTTGGTCTCTTGCAGATGGACAGCTCCAGTTGCTAAAGATGCTCATACATACTTTTTGTGTTCAATCGTCAAACTTCTTTATGAGCCTTCCTAGGAAACATGCTGTTTGCTTTCTGTGACAAGCAGGGAATCAGGAGTGTTTTCAAATGCTTTTGTAGCTTTTCATTTGCAAATGTCATAAAAACGTACAGCATAAATGATGTCACTTAAAAATGTGCGTGCTGCTCGTCTTCTGACGTCTCCAGTGTTTTTTACATCCATCCCTCCCTTCCTTTAAATATCAATTAAAATATTGATTGTATTCAAAGTACAGTGTAACAGGTACAGGGACTATTTTAAAACATGTAACAGATCTGGTGAAGTGTGGAAGTTGAGGAAATAAAAGGTGAGATGGGAATAAATGAATATTTGATTGTGTTACTGGAGTTTTTGAGATAAAGTGGCTTAATGCTGTTCCCTGGGGATGTTCTTAGCATGATTTTTGTTCGCTGCTTTTCAGGGGAGAAGTACGAGCTTCATGCAGGAACAGAATCAACTCCTAGCGTAGTTGTCCATGTCTGTGAAAGTGAGACAGAAGAGGAAGATGAAATAAAAAATCCCAAGCAGAAGATCATGCAGACGAGGCGTCCGGAACCACCTCCAACAATACTGAACGAATCGAAAGCGTTTGATTGTACACTGGAGGTAGGGGGTACTATGCACTGTTAAATTGTGTGATCCTCGAGATAGTATCAAAAATCAGACACTTACTGAGTACATGTGTTGATGTCTGTACGGCTGCTATATGTCATGTATAGCGACAACAGATTTTACTTGTAATTGTCTCTCATGTTCAAGATTTTGGATGCCAATGCTCTGAAAAGCACTTTAATTTTAGGGACTAGTCCCCCAAGTGTAGCAAATCCACCTGACTTGAAATAGTGAAAAATAGGAAGTCTCGTTGTGTTTTGGTTTGGGGTTTTGTTTTTTTTTCTAAAATGTTACACTTTTCTTTATACTGTACAGCGTGATTTACCAAGTGCTGAAATATCTTACTGTCACCATTTGATTCAAGGAGGTTCCTTGTCTAGCAATTAAAAGCTGATTTGTACTGGTACAACAGCTTCCAATTAATATAGCGTTAAATGCAAGTGAAACATACTCTTTATGCTAAAATTCCTTCCCAGCTAGTAGTCTTCTGAGGTGAAGATTAATCTTTGCTTTTCTCAGAGATGCCAAGTATGTGTTTTCAATTTGACATGAGGCACAAATACACGTATGGAACTAAATTCAAGTAGTTTTGCTAACTGCACAGAGAAGAACAGAGGAGGGAGAACCACAGACCACTGAGAAGCCAGACTCTGAGTCCGTCGCCGACACTGCTGCTGCTACTGTCCGTGACGGTACACCGATAGGTACAATGGTTTGCACTGACACCTAATTAGGAGTGAATTACAGTATGTGGAGGGAAATAGGGATTCAGCTATCGAATGTGTTGCCTCTTATCCTCACTGCAAGTATGGTAATGTTTGTTCCTCTACAGTCCTAGAGATGGCCTACATTTCTAAATAAATCCAGTGACTGTTATGTTGTGACTAAATCATGTTAGGAGATAAAACATCTAGGGTTAATTTTGAACTTGTGCTCCTAAACTTCTCCAGTCTGTTTTCGTGGTTTTTTTTAAGACAATCAGTCGCCTGGCTTAGCCAGTTTTTATGCAGTTTCAGCCCTTGTTTGCTGTTTTTCATTAAGACTTTTTCTGTGTGGCATCCTGTCTGTCTGATAGAGCATCTGCTACTTTTGAGACCAGGATGCATCTTTTAAAATACAGATCTTTAATTTTGTGATCTTACGTTAAGTGTTTTAGTAGGAGGAAGATATGCCTCGGTATAATGACACATGCTTCTATGCTTTTATGCTGTTTTATAACCAACCTTTTTTAGTCTAGACAGATTCTTCTTTTTTCTATTTAAAAAAATAAAACTATTTGTGAACAAACCAGGCTGCTGATGTTCATATATATATATAAAAATCATTCAGAAATTGGCCTTTTTCAAATTCATTTTAGTGTGTTTCAATTCTACATGAAGTGCTTATTGAATTTTCAAAAGTGTTTTCACTTGATTGACAGCGGAGAGAAGTAGTAATGGTCATGAATGTGCATGGGCGTGGTAGTGTTCAACTCCATATTGTGCCAGCTCGTGATCCCTTCCTGCCACCGGCTTCAACTTGCAAAATGGGATCCTGCAGGCAGGTCCTTGTTCCAGAGGCAGGAATAGTAAATATTAAAAAGGCAGGAAAATGGTTTTTGTTCATCTTGCCTCCACAGGCATGACATTTATGTATCTCTTCAGGTATTAAACTCACTCAAGGTCCGACTTCTCTGTCTCACTGTTCCATGTTATTAAAAAAAAAAAACCAACAGAAAACCCCCTTGTATTGTCCATCAGGCTTGTGTATTTTTAAAATTCCAGAAGTCCGTTTTGGATTTTCTGTGGTGTTTATATTTTGTTAATTGTTTAATTTCTACCCCGTTGTAGAAGTTGCTGTAAGTAGGAATAAGTGGACAACCTTCAGAAACAGTTTTATAAGGCAAATCAAGCGAGTAATGTTGTCAATGTATCTTGTGTAAAATGTATAACAACTTGCATTCCAACATCTTTCATTGTGTAAAGACACTTAAAATAAAAACAATGCAGTGCCATTCACATGTGGTTTTTTAACTGTATGCCGTATTGGCCCAGGTTTCCTATGTAAGTTTTCCATTGGTATTGTATGCTTGTGCAATGGAGTGAACAGTCGAGATAGTTCATGGTTTTCCATAAGCAAATTATTGGAAAAATAGTGCTGAAGAAGTTGGGGATTTCAACAGAAAAATCCTGGGAAGAGCTGGGCTGAAGGAGGGACTGAGAAGGGGTTTTGGGTGCCTGTCACAGCATCCATTGGGGTGTTTACTTTGCACGAATTTTGAGTGAGACTTTGCCACCCTTAGGCTGTTGTGGGAGAGAAAGTCCGGTTTGGGTTGCAGTACTGAGCTCCGTAGAGTCTTTGTTGTAATAAAGATAAATAATTACTTTTTTTAAAAAAAAAAATCTCCAAGGACTCATTTCCACAGGAGGGAAAGGGTCAGGCTTTATATAAAATGTGCACATATTGACCAACAAAATTGCAAAACATCAGCTTGTTGGCACTGGATATGCTTTTGCCACCAGGTTCCCGTCTCTCTCTCAGGTCAGGCAAATTTTGGCAGTGTTTTTTGTGTTCGCCAGTGGAGGGAGGCTGTGTGCCCTTCTCCTAACACGCGCTGGCATCATATAATCAAATTATATTAAAAATGCTACAAAATCACATTCCTTTACTGCATGTGAAGCCCTGCCTCATTTCTCTGGCAGTGCCTAGGGGCCCCTTTGTGCGAATATAATGGGAGACTTTGTCTGGCACAATGGCTGCCTCCGAATTTGTGTGAATTTGTGTGGAAGGCAGGGGTTCCCAGGAGCTGAAGGGAGTCTGGTGGCTGGCTCCTTGCAAGCACCGATGTGGGTGGGCAAGGAGGAGGCAAAGCAGAGGCTTCACCAGAAGGAAACTGGAATTGAGCCATGGATCAATATCAGGAGTGATTCTGCTCCACTTTCACTCTGCCCATAATCTCCAGGGTGACGGGAGCCTGCCTTGTAAGATGAATTAAATTCAAGTTTGCTTTATTTACTCCACGTCATGATTCAGTAATGACCATCAGAACGTCTTAATCACTGACCTGCTATTAACTGAAGTGCTATTTTTAGAAGTAGGCTTGCACAGAGGCACCAACTGTGCCTCGTCCTTTCTGAGCTTGCGCTTTGTGTAAATAAATACCCTAAATTCCTTTAAAGCATTCTTGAGAAGCAGCTGAAACAAACGTATGGTTTTCTTTGGGCAGTCTGCCTGTGAATTCTGGAGAAAAAGCTGCTGGGGGTGCTTTGGGTTTATTTTACGATAGCTAAGAACGGGCTGTATTTTGCCGTCCTGTGTTCTTGTTCTATTTCTACCTTGTTACTGAATTGCTCCCCCCCGCCCCCAGAAAGACCTCATGCATAAAATGTCTCTTAATTTATTCCCTGAAAGGCTTTATTTCCATTTTTGCCTGGGTTTGGGTTACTGATCTTTCTTAGCTCCAAACAGAAGAATGTCTTACGAATCTTACGCTTACCGGGTTTTGTTTACTTGCTCCGCTTAATGTGTAAAACTCGCTAGGAGGGGTTCATGGTCCAGTGTGCTTTTAATGTGGAAAGAGACCACGGCCAAGCCTCATTCCCTTGGAGAGAAATGCAGAAGTATTTCCTTTACTAAAGCAAACAGGAGGTGTGCACCTGGCTGGATCTGTGAGTCTTTGTTCCTGTGCGGGCTTAGGCGGCACCTGCAATACCTCATCCTGGGACTTCTCCGCTCCGCACGCGTGAAGGTCGGCCCGAGGTGCGGAGAGCCGCCGAGGGAGCCGGACGGCGACGCTGAACTCATTTGGGAGGGAACCTCGGTCCTCGACGCCTCGGAGGAAGGTGTGCTTAGGCAGCTCCTTACCTTTGTTCTGAGCAAGATAAAATACTTTTTCTCCCGCAGCTATTGACCAAGCTAAAATCTGAGTGTGACTACAGGGTCGTCTCCTCACATCAGTCATTTAGCTTGAGGAAAGCTTGCTCAGCATCTCTGAATGTCCCCATGCCTTTCACCTCAAGATCAGGGCTAGCGACCCCGTGTCAGTATGATGGTGCCCACCTTCAACGGGGAGACAGCTGCTATCTTGTGCTTTGGTTGTTTATGTATTGTATCTTGAAGTTGTATTTGTGCTAAGTCACACTAGAAAGCACGCAGGATTTTAAACGTTAACTAATGTGTTTGAGATCCTCTTCTGAACAAGGTCTCCTGCGTTTTAACGTGTTGGCACATTCAGGCTCTCAGAAGGGAATGTTTGATTTCCTTGGTGAAGCGCATGTATTCCAACTATAGTATCGGCAGAAACCCAGATGTCAGCAGTACCAGGGTGAGGTGGTGGGGAAGATACTTACGGCAATCTGTTGTTTTGCTGTGTTACATAAAATATAAACAGAACAAATTCTGTATCCTTTCTGACTCCGCAGCCAATGACCGCGTTCCTGTTTGAATAACGTGGCGCAGCAAGCAGGGATTAGGGAGGGCAGCCAGGCTTAGGTGTGCTCCTCTGCTGGGGCGGGTCGCTTCATCGCCGCAGATCAGTTCTGTCCCATGCAGGTGTGGTTTGTAATTTTATTTTTTTTTGTGACACCAGGTACACGTATAGTACCGAGGTCCTGATTTCCTAATGCAATTCTAGATAGTAATAATGAATTTCTAGTTGGTTGTGATACCTGTTGTAATATGTCTTATCTTTTCTTTTTCTTCCTAAGACAGTTCCAGCACATTCGCTCTGCTCTCTACCCTTCTAATTGCAGGGAAACTGCAAATGTGATCAGTGGTGCTGCGACCTGACCTTATGATCCAGGCAGAGTACAAAACCTACTTGGAAGTGTAAGCTGGATGTATAAATTCAGTGAGACTTAACACATTATTAGGTTATGTTACTTATGTTTTTTTGTAAAGGCTGCAAATGGGGCCTGTAGTTTCTAACTGAGAGTTACGTTGGGTCCTTTGGCATTCATTGGCTTCATTAACGGTTGGCCTTGATGATCTTAAAGGTCTTTTCCGACCTAAATGATTCTATGGTTCTATGATTATGGTGGCTCTGGAGCATTCCCAACAGCTCGGTTGATCCTCCACTAACACTGCTAATGGGATAAGGTCAGGATTGGCAGCTGATGTCCTGTAAAGTGAATAACTGATGCTGAAAGCAGAGCTTTATACACAACAATGTATAAACCTAGCGTGTGGCGATAGCGAATAGTATAAAGGCTGTAAATTCAGGACCTGGTGAGGGACTTCTTCCCAAGCAAGCGCTTGGGAAAGTCACACCCTCCTTCTCTCTGGCTTTTAGAGAACACATTTGCTTTTATTGAGCTTTTCCTTGGCTTCATTGTAGATGTTCACACCCCCCCTCAGGCACTGTAGCAGCGATGGCACTTAATAAATTAAGGTTTGGGGATTTTTATTTTAATAGTTGAAAGGGTACTTAGCACATTGTGATGCCTGGAAACAATTACACTGGGCTTTTTCCAGTTTGTTTTGTTGTGTGCCATTTCATTCTGGTGGGACCCTCTGTACTTATTTTCAGATGCAGATGATGTACAGGAGTACAGGAACTCCGAGGGTGTTTTACTTGAGAGGATGTGATTGTCCTTCCTCAGAAGGGAACCTCCTTGTTTAAAACACAGCAGTGAGAATCGGGAGATTTGGATTCTGCTTCAAACTCTGCCTTGGATCTCTGCAAGGAAGGAACGTAATTTATCTTCTGTTGCAGTTGACGGTCTTGCGGGCTTGGTCCTGTTTTTCAGCAGTATTTGAAGGGATGGGGGGAGGGACTCACGCTGCCTCCTATGTGTTGTCCCAACCAGAGGCAGACTGCTCTGCATTAAACAGGATACTGGTGCTGGATGGAGTTGGAGTTTCTCCAGACCTTGTCCCACTTTAGGGAGATTCTTCTCCAGCCCACGTGGGTAAAAAGAGCCGTTACTTCTCATGCATTTGCACTTGTCCTGCTGTCGCTGTGAAGTTTGTGGTGTCTGCCACGCACAGCGTCAGCCACGGCTGTGTTGCGGTTCTTCCTGGTGCCCCAAATCGTTCGCTGGCTCATTTCATCCCTTCTGTGTTTGACTCCCAATGGCACCTAACTGCAATTGCTGTACTGTCATGATTCTGATGTCAGAGGTGTCTGACAGCTCAGCCGAGCAAATGTTACGCTATATACTGTCTTTCTGGTTTTTATTTCCATGAAAAACTACTTTGACCTCCAGAACAGTAAGACTGAGAACCTTTTGTGCTGCAGAATGCTACGCCAGCTCCACAAGCATGGAAGCTGAGCCACGCTTGGTCTCTGAGCCCTCTCTTTTTATGTCTAAACTGTGAACCCTTTTTTCCGTCTACAGAAGTATCAATAACAGATGAAACAGAGCAAAGAAAATGAGAAATGAGAGGCCAGAAGCCCAGTGCTGGTAAACGATCCCAAATTTTTCCACAAATGCTACTGTCTCGAGCTCTGAGCTAATATAAAATATTGCATGCAGTGAAAGCAATGCTTTTGAAACGGCTGAACCTTCAAAATGTTCTGCGATGGCCCAGAGTCGGTGATCGGGCTAGCAGTGCTTAATACTAGAGTCGTACTTGTACAGCGTTAGCTGGTCCTTCCAGTA